AGTACAAGCCAAGGATAGAGGAAATGGAAAAAACACAAAAATGAATATAACAAAAGCAGAAAAGCTTGTATTCTATTTTGATACACGGGAGTGACACATGGTTTATTAGGGTATAAAAGAATGTTACAAAAGCAGAAAATTACAGTCCATGGAGAATCTCATAATAGATCCATTAGGGTATAATGCTGCAATACAGAAGAACCATCTTTTTGAACATGAACACAATTCTGTTTCACTCTTTTGAGGTCACTTAAAAGTATAGCACTTTAACAGCATTATTTCCTATCAGTAATTAAGCCAAGCATTATTGACAGGGGAAAAGATATATGTGCAAACTGTACAGAGGATACATTAATGGTCCACTATCTTGAAAATTGTGTATTCATATAACTGTATGCAATTAATACATTTAAAGACTGCATTTTCAATGTGTTATTCTTTAATTGCCTATTTTTTATTTATATTTTCTTGACATCCAAATGCAATGCTAGCATTTAAGCAAAATTGACAAGTTTAAAAATAAAACAGGGAAGCTTCATGATGTGTGGTTGGAATTCTGTACTTAGAAAAAAAAAAAAGGTGCAAACTTCTGCATTTGTGTAAGCTTCCCCATCATAGTTATAATAGTTTGTCCCAACCCCTGTCAGTTTTGGAGAGGCAAGACAGCTTGGTCTGCATTTTAGGAGTAAATAAAAACAGCATATATAACATGTAAAAAAAAAAAAAAAAAAAAACTGGGATTCAAATATTACTATCTTTACTTATCAGAATACAAGGTTTTTCATAAAAGTGGTCCAAAGAGAACTGGACTGATCTACATATTAACCAGTTGGAGGCTAGAGAGTACAGGTATTGGAGTTGCACTTTCTATTGTCTTAAAAGTTGGCAGATTACTGAGTTGGATTGAACTATTATGAGGTCTAATGGGCCCCATCACCACTTCATAGTATAGGAGGAGCCTTTTTGATAACAAATAGCTTCTATTATGAAAGAGCACAACCAAGTGACATAATAAAAGTGTCTTCCTCCCCTGGTTCCTGGACTACATTTCAACTGGTAATGCAGGAAAATGTTTTGCATAGTTATTCTTTTAGGTAACATGAAACAGTGTAATATGAAGTGATTGCAATAAATCATAAATGGGTCTCCAAAGAATTATTGGTGATTTTCCCTGCGCCACTCATACTCATAATTAGGAGATACGTCTCCAAGGTTAATTAGTTCCCTAATTATTCTTTAATTAAATCTCAATTTGAGATGTATTATAATCAATTCATATTGAATTTTTTCTGATTATATAACAGAGTATTTGTGAAAAAATATATGTTTCTGCGCTGACTAACTAATGAAAATAATTCTAACTAAGCTGACACTGGTACAGTAATAAAACATATCACACAAATTTGAAACTGCAGAGCTACAATAAAATTTCTTATAATATAATAACATAAAACATAAGCACCAACCAAAAGATTGTTTAAACCATGCTATCGAAATAGTGCAAAACAATAAATGAAACAAACCATAAATTGAACAAGATTATTCAGTCCATGGCTTTTCTTCCCTGTAACTGCCGATCAGTAAAAAAGTTCTCAGCAATCTTTTGTGATCCTCCATTATAAAAATGTGCTTCCTTGAACCAAAAAGTGTCCCAACAGCTGGAGAAAGCCCTCATCTTAGTTATATATATATATATATATATATATATTATTTTATTGAAAGGATTTTGCGTCTTATTAGGCAATGCAGCTCTGATCCTCCTCAGCTCCCTTTGACTGTAATACAGGCAACAAACCATTCAGCAAGGAACAGCTCAAACAAAGGAAGACAAATCACCTTCACAAAGTGTAAATCTTTTATTCAACAAACGCAAACACATGAATCAATCCACTGAGCTACTGTGTGTATCATGTGATGAGCCTGTTGTATGAGGGGACAGGTTTTTTTGAAGCAAGGAAGGAGAGTGCTATTCACTATCTGTTAAAGCTGAACTTGGGGCAGGATAATTTTGAATTAAGATGATTGTAAAGTATCACAGTTTATTTAAAAAAAAAAAATAATAAACATGTTATACTTACCTGCTCTGTGGTTTTGCACAGTGCAGGTCCAATCATCCTCTTTTCAGGTCCACTGCCAGTCCTCCTGGCTCTTAGTTCCCATAGAGTGCCCCCAGGGCAAGCCACTTGGGGGCACTCGTGCATGCTCATTCCCGAGCCAGTTCTGTGTGTCCATTGACGTAGTTCCATTGTGTCCAATTGATGTGGCTTGCCCCTGCCCATTGCATATAATGCATTAAGGTAAACACTGTCTGCCTTTTTAAAAATCCACTTTTGTGTCCCAAATGCCTTTGCAAGCCCAGATACCCTGGGTACTAGAAGCCCTGCCAGTATGAATTTAAGTTAAGATGGGACGTGGATCTTTTTTTTAGATAAATTTGTGAAGTATATCATGTCTTCTTATTTATTACTCCCCATCCTTTTACTTTTGTTAGAGGTACCGGCATTTTTTAAGGGCTTTTGATTTGGATCTTTGGTATATGTTATAAAGAATAGTAATTAAGATTAGCAGTACTTTTCTGTCATCTACAGTATATATAATTGTGTTAATTATTTAGACCCAACCTTTTGTTTGGGTGAAGTATGTGTGTGTGTGTATATATATATATATATATTTATATATATATATGTTCTTTTATAAAGCACTATGCTGTGATGAAGGCTGTTTGCCGAAACGCGTCAGTATGCTTTTTATGCCATTCCTGTATTACCAATAAAGCTTTCATAAGGATGTCAGAGTTTGCTGTCTCTTCATGTTTTTGTATATAAGCCCAGATATCACCATATAAAGTAGAAGTGACATCATCACTGTTCTATGCATAACCTGTGCAGAAATCGGAGCTGTAGGAGGGACCCAACTGGCTCCGCCCACTACAGGCTGCCTGCAAAGAGGGAGATCAGCAGTGACCGATCTTTATTATTTGAACTCCTGCACAGAGGTAACGTTTCACACTGGATTACTGCACAGATCTGGAACGAAATAAACAAAGCACACCAAGTCTCAAGTAAGAATACACATGCCTCTTGTATTTAGACAATATTTGTTTATTCCAGACTTCAGCTTGTAAGTGTATTTCCACTTTTGCAGTCAAATTTGAGAAAACCTCACTATATGTTTGTTATGTGTTCCTATTTAGGCAGATTAGCAAAAAAAATATTTTTTAAATATTTCTTTTAGATGTTTTTAAGGAGAAGGCTTCGTGGCTGATTGTAAGTGATTCTGGACATTTTACCAGATTGGAAACTCACTGTGCTACCCATCATTAACATACAATGCAGGAGGTCAGCTTTTACATTTTTACCCCTTGTTAGCAAATCTAGTTTACAACTGATAATGAAGAGCTGCCAGCACAGTACAGCCAGGGCTAATTATGTTAAACATTTGTAAATGCTACAAAGCAGAGAGAGCCTGTTAGGAATTTTTAAGCAAGTAAGCAAGTAAAAAGGTAAGCATAAATTTATGCTATATTAATGGGAACATGTAACAAATATAAAGTAGGCCTTATACAATTCTGTCTGAAAAAGTGGAAAACACTTTAATCCTCATAATGCTAGTGTTCATAAGCACTCACACTATATAAATGGATTGATTTATGAGTTGTCTTTTGTTAATCTGCCTGCACACCGAAATAATAAAAAAGTTCCCTTCCTGCTGCAGCCTCCTGGGCCCCCCTGATGAACTGATGGGGCCCAGGGAAATGTAATACAGTTGCAATGGACCATCTGGGAGCCCAGGGAAACATATAAACTTCCTGCATACCTAATAAAACTTAAAGCAGCCAGTCCTCCCAATTAAATTGATGAGGCCCTGGCCCCACATGACAGGACCAGTGATACCCCCTTATCAGCGGCCCTGCCTGTCAAATTGTACAAGAGATAATATACCACCTTGCTTGTTGATTGGGGTCTGCTGAAACAGGACTTGATAAGTATTGTTATTCTTTTCAACCCTTTTTGTTTTGCTGTTGCTTTGTTGTCTCTGTGTTCTCTTTGTATTACCTTTTTCTGTAAATATTTTCATTGCACCATTTTTACATTTTCATTATTAAACAATATTTTGAAAAGTGTTAAATTGTCTCTAATGCTCTAACGTAGAGCCCAAAGAATCCCTGTCTCGTGAAGAATGCTACTACCTGGTAAATCTCTGAATATACTTGTCTGTGGTGACAGCGTGTGTTACAGATGTTTATTGTAAATCTAAGGTTAGTAACCTGTAGATTGTGGCCAGGTGACTAGTAGATCACGGTCTGGGCTTGCAAACCTGCCTCCCCAGAGCATCAAATAGAATGCAATGCTGGGAATACTTGTAAGAGCCGCATAAGCCAATGCTGGCTTAGTACTGGTTCCTGTCCCATGCGGTGTGAGACCAACTGGGTTTTACCCCCCACTGTTGGAACGAGCCCTAAGGATGCCGCTGCCAAATGCAACTAAGGTCTCATTCACAAGCGCAGCAGGCACTGCTGCTCCTCTGAAAAGGGATCCGAGTGTGTTTGACAAGTGGTGAGAAGGCGATATGTTGCCTCCTCACCACCTGATTAGAACTCATGATTGCCATGCAATGCACGCGATTGCGACACAGTAGTACAACAATTACAGGTTTAAATCAGGTGTGAGGTGGCGACACTGTGCCTGCCGATCTTTGACTTCTCCCATGTTGTTCAGGTATTTCACACAAATAGAACTTTCTATTGCTGGTATTTAATAGCCGCTGAGTGTTTTATGTTTTGCGCCATAAACAAAAAAAGAGCAAAAAAGTTGAAAAAAAAAAAGTTTTTTGTTTTTATTATAAAATTTTGCAAACAGGTAATTTTTATCCTTCACGGATGTGCATTGATGAGGCTGCACTGATAGGCAGCACTGATGGGCACTGATGAGGTGGCATGGATAGGCAGCACTGATGAGGTGGCACTGATGAGGCGGCACTGGTGGGCATTGATGAGGAGGCACTGATGATGCTGCACTGATATGCGGCACTGATGGACACTGATAGGTGGCACTGATGGGTGACAGTGACTGGCAGCACTGACTGATGGCACTGACTGGAGGCACTGCTGGGTGCTGATAGGCAGCACTGATGGGCGGCACTGATGGGCAGCACTGATGGGTGGCACTGATAGGGGGCATTTATGGGTGGCACTGCTGGCACTGATGGGAGGCACTGCTGGGGGCACTGCTGGGCACTGGTGGGTGGCACTGCTGGGCACTGATGGGAGGCACTTCTGGGCATTGGTGGGTGGCACTGCTGGGCGGCACTGCAGGTTACTGATCATCAGTGCCCGATGATCAGTGCCGATCTCCCCTGTGACAGCTGACGGTTATCGGCAGTATTTTCCTCACGCTGTGACATGCTGTGTTTCAGCCTCCACATGGCTGCTACAGGACCACCCACAGAGACTGCTCTCCTTCTCTCCCTGGTCACAGGGAAAAGCTGCAGCTGGAGCTACTGGAGAGGCTCTGCCCACTGCCTGGAGAGAAGAAAAGGGAAGCTGTGATTAGTTATAGGCCTAGCCTGAGCAGGAACGTCCCCCCTCTCTGCTGTGGGAGCTGCAGAGACTGGTGGGAAATGTGGTCTCCAAAGGAGGAAGTGCTGTTCAGAGGAGTCTGTGTGGAGCTACAAGTCTCAAGAGCTAGGCAGCTGCAGGAGGAGGAAAAGGACAGGAAACTTGGGCTCTAGAACAGTTTTCCCCATGGAGAACTACGGCAAGTTGCTATTGTGCTGCTGAGGGCCAGTGCTTCCTGTGTCACTAGATAGGGACTGAGTGGTTGTACCTGTCAGAGACCACTGAGCTGGAGGTACAAAGCATGTGCAAGGGACCGTGCCCTGGAATGGAGGAGCCCAGTGAGTTGTGCGAGAGGACATCTCCTCTGAGAACGTCTGTAGATATGCCCGGGATCACTGCAACCGTGTTCAAAGCTGCTGCCGTTGCCCTCGGACACCTCAGGAGGAAGCCTGATCTTGAGTCCAGTGTTACAGATGCCCACCAGATTCTGAGTGCATTAGTTTTAGTAAATCTACCCCACAGTGCCCCACATTAACTTTGGCAAGAATGCATCCATTTAGCATAGAAAAGGTTGTGGAAGGCTTACAGAAGAGTAGCAGAAAGGTGTCCTGGCAGCCCCAGTATAGGTGCCCAATGAACAAAACTCCTTTATTATACAAATATTAAAGGGGTTTTCAGGTTTCTCTATAAAAAGCAACAGTTAAAATATAATAGGCTCAAAGCTTTCACATAAGGTTAGGAAAGCTTTAACTTAATTTTCAAATTGAATCTGACCCAACTGAATATAAAAATCACTTTATTAATAAGTATACTTATCTTGGTGCATTCACTTTGTGAATAGAGCCTAATGCCTAATGTTGCCAAGACAATCGAAGCCAGGAGATGACTGAGAGGCAAAGCTAGCCATGCTGAGTTCAGACTGCAGACAGCAATAAAAAGTTGACCTGGACAAGGTATATTAGCTTTCATCTTGTTGAAACCACTGTTATCCTGACACTATTGTGCAGCCTGGTATAAGATAGAATTACCCTGCTATTTTTATAAAATCACATACATTGTAAATGATAGAAAATAAAGAAAGATTATCACCTAATATGAACAAATTCCTAATATACTATGTATTATTATTATATTATTATTATTATTATACAGGATTTATATAGCGCCAATAGTTTGCTCAGCGCTTTACAAAATAAAGGGAGACAATACAGAAACAATACAGTTCAATACAAGAGGGTTAGGAGGGCCCTGCTCCTTGGAGCTTACAATCTAGGAGGGAGGGGCTAGTAGTACAAAAAGGTAGTAATGTGGGGGATGGACTGGTAGGAGGAGTAGAAGATTCCATTATTAGCTGAGTGCAGGATAGGCTTCCCTGAAGAGATAGGTTTTCAGAGATCGTCTAAAAGTGAGCAGAGTAGGCGATAGTCTGATAGATTGGGGTAGAGAGTTCCAGAGGATGGGGGAATCTCTGGAGAAGTCCTGGAGACGAGCATGGGAGGAGAAGAAACAAAGGAGCTAGAGAGCAGGAGGTCTTGCAAGGAGCGGAGAGTACAGTTTGGGTAATATTTAGAGACAAGATCTATGATGTAATCGGGGGCAGAGTTATAAATGGCTTTATATGTTATTGTTAATGTTTTGAATTTTATCCGTTGGGCAATGGGAAGTCAGTGAAGGGATTGGCAGAGAGGGGTGACAGATACAGAACGGTTGGTAAGGTGGATGAGTCTGGCAGCAGCATTCATGATAGACTGAAGAGGGGATAGCCTGCGATTAGGTAGGCCAATGAGGAGGGAGTTACAATACTCAAGATGAGAGATAACAAGGAAGTGAATAAGTTGCTTAGTGGTTTCCGAGGTTAGGAACAGGCATATCTTGGAGATGTTGTGGAGGTAAAGTCTACAAGATTAGGACAGTGATTGTATTTGGTGCTGAAAGGACAGATGAGAGTCTAGGATTACACCTAGTACCCTGGCATGAGGGGAGGGAATGATGATTGTGTTATTGATCTTGATGGAGAAGTCAGGGGAGGGGGCACGGGCTGGGGGGAATACTAAGAGCTCAGTTTTGGAAAGATTGAGTTTGAGGAAGTAGAGTGACATCCAAGCCGATATGTCGCTTAGTAGGTTAGTAATGTGAGGGGAGACGTAGTAATGTAGTAATTAAAATTATGAAATAGCATTGTTGAAAGATTACTGTCAGATCAGTGACACTAACATTTTGATGACATTGCTTACCTGTACTTCATCCCACTGAAGAGTTGTCACCTTTTGTCCCACACGTGGTCTCCATGTTGGAAGTGCCATTACAGCTGGGGATTGAGGAGCTTCTATTGTGGGCTCTAAAGTTGTTTGCTGAAATTCTGGCATTTCGGTGATAGTTGTTTCTGTGGTGTCCAGAAGTACAGAGCCACAGTTCACCCCTGTAAACCCATCTTTGCAGATACACAAGTAACCATCCCCGTGGACACTGCAGTTTCCATGGATACAAGGATTCTCTTCACATGGGTCCCCGACAAACTAGAGGATAAAACACATCAAGCACATGTTATCAATAAAATAATATTAGCTCCTAATATACTCAGCAATTGATTTTCCTCTTGAAACACCTGTTTGAACAGTATTTAATTTGCACTAAATCTGCATTATCAAAAATTTTTTTCATCCTAAAAATATTCTCTGAAGATACCCATAAAAAGACAAATGTAGGCTCCATGCACACTGGGCATTTTATTAACGCTGGCAATGTTAGCTGTGTAAAGTCACATTGAAAACATGAGTTTTTTAGCATTTTTGTATTAGCTTTTACCGACGTTTTGCCGTCTTTTTTTGCGTTTGTGTTTTTTTTAGAGGTTTTTTTTTTAAAAAAAACCTCATTTTTTTAAGTAAAAAAAAGTCGAAAAAACACTGGTTTTCCGCGTTTTACCGTGTTTTTACAGCTAAAAGTCTTTAGAAACCCACTAGTCCTGGGTTTTTTTTTCTATCCAAAAAACTTCCCTGCCAAAAAATGCTGATTACAGTCTATATGTGCATGGACACATAGGATAACATGCTGGGGAGTTTACTGGCTGTAGAAAACAACGTCAAAAGCCAAAAACAGGCGCTGTACAAACGTCCAGTGTGCATGAGGACGTAAAACTAACATGCTTGTAAGTGATCAATATGGAATTGATCATTCAAAATCGATTTAGGTATTGTATAGCCAGGATGGTAGATGCAACTGTACATCTAGCATGTCTGATCTAGGGGTGCAATAAAAGTCTAGGGGGGGTGGTTGTCAACACATTTTATCTCCTCCAGCTAGCTCCCCCTGGTTTTCTATCTCTCCAGCTCTCCTCAATGACGCTGGGTGTGTATGAGTCACTGATATTCTGCCACAGAGTTTGACAGGGAAGTAGGGAACCCATATTCCCTGTTTACTTGGAGTGTTTTTATTCTATAAGTCACCACCCAGAAGTAACATTTAACATTACTTCTAAGATGGGCAGAGTCAGTGCAGGAGTGAACAGGGGACTCCTACATCTCTACATGGCTGCAGCAAAAAGCACATGTCTAAGGTATGCAAAACCATGAAGCACCCCAATACTCGATTTACGGAGCTGAAAGACACTAACATCTGCACCGGATGGTGATGTAGCCCTCTTCTTAGTGCCACATGGGGGAGTCCCCCTTCCACATGAGGTTACCCCTTCACATCATAGTCCCCCTATTATATGAGAAACAGCCCCCTTCAAATTAGAATCCCCCATTACATCAGAGTAAGCCCCATTCATATCACAGTCCCTCCATCACATCAGAGTCCCCCATCGCACCGGAGTCCCTCCATTATATCAGTCAGTCCAGTTACATCATAATCCCCCTTAACATCAGTGTGTCCACTTAACAACCCTCACAAATAGGGTCCTACACTGAAACCTTAAGCACATTACAGCCTTATGGCAGGTCTGGACAGAAGCAGGGTTTCCATTCTTTTCTGACATCACCTGTTTCCATGATGTGGGCAGGCCAGCAGTCAGCAACATAGCAATAAATGATGCTGTGTATCCTGGTCATCCCTCCACCACGAAAACAAATTATGTGGATAAAGGTGTAGGTATGCCAATTTGGCATCACCAAGGCTACAAAGTGCCCCCTCATACCCTGATTCTATCACTGGTCTAGTCCCTTAATCTAACTCTGCTGCACAATTATTAATTATTCATGTCACTTACATATTAACAGTTTTGTTGCCTTCCCCCTTGTTTCCAAAGATCATTTATGGCCCTGCACATCTAAATCCTTCACGTCTGACCATACACAATTATATGCAATTACAGTGGAACTTTAGTCGAGACTATTTTCTTGCTGTGGATATTGGGGGTGGGGTGGAATGTTAGAATCCCTCAAAAGTCTAAAGTTGTCACTAAAACAAGATATAAAGAGGAATCTTTGAACATGGCCAAATATTTGGGGTAATAACCATCAAAGTGTGGGAAGATTTTGTACCTGGGGTGTCAGGAGCGTGCAACGCTCCTGTTCCATGAGAGATGCTGGTCTCATTCCAGCATCCTGGTTTTGGCTGAGCTCCATTCATCCTGTCTGCCTGTCCACTTGCAGGGTGATTTATGTAGATACATATGTCAGTGACACTCTGGCGGAAGCGGGGACTAGAGTGAGGACAGAAGAGGAGCCGAGTCTGACAAGTGACAAGAGTGTGAGTGTCATCATTCGCAGTGCCCATTTGGAGGAAAGATGGTGATACCTGGTAGCGGTTTCTGGTGACCTTTTCTGTGGAGCTGGGATGGTGATTCGTATGGTAAACCTGACCCGAGACCTGATGACCTATCTATAGCCTGATGACGCAGGATTTATTATTGTGCATTTTAAACGCACATCTGGTGAGTGCGTTTTTCATCCATTCGTTTGGCTTGCACCTGTTGTCACTCCCGGATCAGGACGTCCACACACTTGGAATTGTGATCTTTGTATGATCCACACAATTATATTGAACTAATTATATCACGATTAATCACCTTAAGGTGATACCACTTATCCACATTTGTTTGAAATGGCATGTCATTATGTATATTAAAATGTATTACCATTTAGCGCTGCACCAACTTATTTGAATACACATATACTACTGGAGGTTTTTCTTGGTTGCCTTTCGGTGTATCAGCTGCTTATTTACTTAATTCATTGTGTTTATATACATATATATGTGTGTGTATGTGTGTATGTGTGTATATATATATATATATATATATATATATATATATATATATATATATATATATATATATATATATGTATGTATATATACTTTCTTTTCGTTTTTCGGTAGCGCTCACTGAAATCTTTTTATCGCATTTATGTAGATACAGCCTCTAGGTGGAGACCAAACCTTTTGTAGGCCAGCCAAGCCCTCACTCTCATGCTCGTGATAGTGTTTGTAATTCGTGTTTTCAGCTCCGTTTCCCTGTCTTGTTTCTGTGCCTTGACCTTCATCTCAGCCCTGCACTGACAGCTTGTTTGGATTCCATTGTTGAAGACCTCAGATTGGATTTTGACTATGTTCAGAACTCAGCCTGCCTTTTGACCATGGATTGGAACCTGACTACTCTTTTGACGCTGCCTGACATGATCACAGACTGTCAGTGGACCACTCTGCCCGACTGCCAACTGCAGGTTCTTGTTTGTTGTCCTTATTTTGTGCCTGCTCTGGTGTGGTAGCCAGGCGCTATAGCATTGTGTATAAGAACTGGGGGAAATAGAGTACCTGTAGGCCTGCTTGACTTATGGTAAAAAGGGCTGCTATAGGCAAAGAACACAGAAGCCAGCTAGAGTGCTTGACCACCAACGCTAGGTGTTAGGTGTGACATGGGGGACAGATATAGCAATTAAATACCTGACTCAGGTTCTAATCCTTTTTTCACTTTAGCCAAAACTTTAAAAATAGAGTTTGTCTGGAGTTTCATATGGCACATAAACAACTTGCAGCATTCCACTTACTAAGGACTCTACCAGCAATAACAGTAAATCAGTTACAGAAAAGTGATGTCTAGTGGGAAATCCTTCAAGCTGCCAGTAGTAAAACTAAACCCTGACTAGGAAAGCCCACCGACACTAAGACAGGGGATTTGAACACATGCATGTGGTGTTCTGCATGGCTATGAGTATGGACATATGCATGTTTAAGCACATTTCATTGTTCCTGCTTTCAAATAGTTTCTGGTGATCTTATCTTTCCAATAATCCCCTGCCAAATCAGTTTTGCTTATAAATAGGTAAAAAAAAAAATCTATCTGTCTCTAAGGCTTCAATCATGCTGGTATATGTGAACATTCTGCTTGGAATGCAGAAATAACAGAAGATCTTGTGCAAAATATTTGCCTGAAGTAATCTTGTTTAGGTGCATTCAATTCTTCTGAGGACTTTAGGAGTGTATGCATATGCGCTTTTACCTTCATTTACACACATTTAGACATGTCAACACACACATACATGTGTAAAATCTGCAGATATATATGGTCCCAGATGCAGTTGTCTCCAACTATTTTTTTGTACACCACTAAACTTGATGTTCATACTCATTTGTAGACACAGCTGTGTGTATGGCCACATTGATTTATTTTTTTTTTACTTTTTTTGGACCCCAGCACGGATTAATTGGTTTTCAAAAAATTTACAAATTTTTTTTTAATCATGTCCCTGTACAGTATTTATGCCTTTAAAGTGCACTTTATAAAGAGTTTTGAACAGATAAGACTTTTTTTTACTTTTTTCTGACCTCTGGAATGGATTAATTGGCTTTCAATGCATATACAATTTTTTTTTAATCATATCCCTGTACAGTATTTATGCCTTTAAAGTGCATTTTATAAAAAGATTTGAACACATAAAATACTTTTTTTACTTTTTTCTGACCTCCGGAACAGATTCATTGTTTTTCAATGCATTCCTACGGGAAACGCATTTCGGTTTACAAATTTTTCGCAATAGGAAACGTCCCAGAGAACGCATTAAATTCGTAAACCGAGGTACGCCTGTATATACTGTACACATCTAACTTAGCATTTTAGACACTTGGCTGAATGATTCCTAAGCACAAAAGGGGAACATTTGCTATAGTATGCCACAGCACTTTGTTGTGCTTATTTGTAATTATAAAACAAATAAAACTAGTTGAAACCTTTCAACTGTAATCACCCCAGTCGCAATGGTAAATGCCAGCCTAGTCATCACTAGTTCTTAGATGTAAATATGACAGAACCTTAGAAGATGAAGAAATCAGATTTAGTGTATAGTGATACTGCTGCCATCAAAACTATGCAGATATCATTGGCCCCTGTACAGTTTTAGCTATTAAAGAGAACCTCAGAGTAAAATGTATTCTTTCCGCTCTACCATAGTTTTGAAGATCACCGAGAGTGTTGGAAGAATTGGGAATGTTCTCTGAGGAACACTTGTACCCAACGAAAATCTGCCTGCAATGATAGGAAAAGGAAAGAGCAATGCTGCAAACTGTTGAGAGGATTTCTCAAATA